TAGTAACAGAGTATGAAAGAAATAGAAAAAAAAAAAAAATAGGTATAGATTGAGTTATAGCTAATAAGGATAGTAGTATGAATAGTATTAGTTTCAATAATAGAATAGCTAACTGATCCTCCTTAACTCAAGCAGAACTAGGTATAATATAGATAGCTTTGCTAGTAGCTCCTACTAGTACAAAAATAAGATTATACTTTGATAGCAATATAGTAATAGAGAGAATACAAGGTTTCTAAAGCCGAATAAATATTAGAAATATGTTTAAGACCAAGAATTATAGTTTGATTAATCAAATAATAGATTGCTGCAGAACTAAAAATATCAAGCTAGAGCTGATTAAGGTTAAAAGCTATAATATGAATTATTAGAATAATAAAGCTAACAAGTTAGCAAAAGAAGATCTCTCATTTAGCCTAGTACTAAAAGTATAGAATACTATAGCAAGCAGTATAAAAGTAGCATCAACTTAGAAAAACAAGCTAATAGATAGCTTACTCAGATCTTTCGTTAATATAATTACAATAATATCATATGAATGTGAATAGGCAAATTTGAATAATATTAAACTAATACTAGATCAAAGATTATATGGGTAAAGCAATAAAAAGCTAAACTAAAGAAATATATGGAGCTTACTAAAGAAGCTTCAGAGAAAGAGATTTATCAGTATCAAAAAAAACAAAGCTCTGATCTTTAGAATAAAGTATCTTAACAAGTTATTATCAACTAAAGACCTCTGCTTTCAAAAGAACTCAAGCCTATATAAGAGTAAAACTTGTATAGCATGCTTTGCAAAAGAAGAATCATTAGAACATATTGCAGAATACTAGATATATCAAATAATTTGAAGAAAGATCGAAAGGTTAATTATAGAAGAGCTGAGTATAAAGATTGATAACAAATAAAATATAGCTATCTCAGATTAGACTTTAAAAGAAGTGTTTATAGGACAGAATATAGATGAGATACTCAGTAGAAGAAAGTTATATATTTGAGATCTAATAAGTAACCAGCTTATAACAAATATTAAAAAGATTTTAGGGTTTATTTCCAAGACTAACAAGGCAATAAGCTGGTTTTCTGAAATATTTTAGTTTAATTTCTTTAAAAGACTATAAAATTTCATTACAAAGTTATGCTAGAATGTGAAGAAAAGAATAATATTAAGTTTAAAGAAAAAAGTAAAAAAGTAAAATAGAAGTATAATAAACTTAAGAAAGAAAATATAGCAAATAAAAAAAACTAAAACCTAAGCAAGAATAACTATAAAGAATCAAGTAAAGGTAAGGAAGAAAGAATCCAAAATCTAGCCAAAGCTAAAGTAAAAATATGGATTAAAAAAGGTTTAAAAGAAAACTGATTAAGTTTTAAAAATAACTAAGGTATCTTGAAATAGATACAGAAGAGCCTTCTATAGATTACTAGAGTATAACATTGCTTAGACAAACTGCTCTACTAGGAGGAAAATTACTTTTGCAACTAATTATACTTAGACACCTAGGGTAGCTAAATGAGTTCAAAATTGAAAAAAGAAGGTAGTTATATAGCTAATATAAATTAGTTTTTATTTTTGTTGTAATATTATATATGTTTTCTCTTAATAAATGAAAAGCAAGATTGCTTAAGTTTAAAAAAAAAACAAATATACAGTAAAAACTTTTATAAAATCAAAATTGATCATCTCTAAAAAAAAAAAATCTAATAGTAATTTTTATGATACTATATATATATTTAATCAATATAGTACATTAAATACTTATCGTTTAAGCAAATGTACTCTTTATGAGATCTGATTAGTTAACTCAGATATGATTAAGAATATTAAACAAATTTGATAACTATAATTAAATCTGTTATCATTATATTACTAATACAGTAATTATCAAACTTTGACATTTGTAGCTAGAATATATCATGATCACTATATAATATTATGTATAACAATAAGCTAAAAAATATATTGATATATAATATATAATAATAAGGCTATACAAAATTAATTAATTTTCATAACCTAATTAGATTGATTTAACCAAGAAGTTGGCTTAATACCTTATGCTAACTTGTATTAATTTAGTAAATTTAAAGTATTTAAAATAAGTTATTCATACAATTAAGAATTGGTACTACATAAAATTTTTCTAACTATTTAACTATTTAATTTAGTTAGCATTAAATAATTCTTGCTCATAACTAATATAATTTGGTCTAAAACTATAAAATAACTTTTAAGCATTTCAATTTATATTATATTCTCAAATATTAAAAAAGTTATTAGCATAACTAATATTGATAATTAAAATATTTAAATAATTGCTATATACTAGAAAGCAAAAATCCTTAAATTTTTTTTTTTTATATTATTAAAGCAGCTTATATTGCTGAAAGAATTTTATTAGAGTTGTTAATGAGATTATATATTGATAATCCTTACTGTTTGTAATTATATAAAGAGTATATAATAAGCTACACATACAACTTTAGTTATTATCTATTTTAAGTAGTCTGCTATACAGATAATTAAACTACCTGATTAGTTCTATACTATACTGCTATATCTGTAACTCACCTATAAGTTATCTATTTAAATACTCTATTCATTAATCTATACAGATCCAACCTAATATCACTGTAACATCTAATCACTTAAGCTAGCTAGCTCATTACAATCTATTTATTTAGAATGGTTTAGATCCTTTTGGAATATATTGTACCTAGTATATTGTAAGTATTGCAGAGCCAGTTAATCTCGAAGCATACTTACTAGAGTAGTCCATACCTATTTTATAAATTCATCTAGTTTAGACCTTTGTAGATGTTTGTACAACTTCAGTTCTTATTGTAGCTCTTTACTAGTTTTCTGTATTCTATCTCCTTAGATATTTCACGAAGCAGATCTTCTTAATTTAGTTAGCTGCTAAGCCAAGTTGGTGTTACTGATCCTCTCTGTAGAACAGATTTATATACTCGACTTAATCTGCATCTTTTGATAATAGTTTTCTTTTTAAATCAAACATTAGCTAGTATATCTATCAAAAGTTGTACTACTTCACTAACTCAAGATTTCTCCTATGCAGGTTCCCTACTCATAGATCATATTAAGATTTATTCATATAATATTATATCTCACTGAATACCTCATCACACTTCTAATATCTAGATGACATTGGTGCAATATGATTTATAGAATTATAACCCCAGAATCGAATAGAGTTTACTATAAGTTGAGTACAAAGATTCAAGTAATTATTCAAATTTGTCAATAGTGAGATTTGAACTCCAGACTTCTTGCATAGCAGTCTGACAACCTAACTACTACACTAAGATTACCAAACCTTTAAAATCCTTAAATTTCAATACTGTAATTTAATGCAATTTGTTATGAAATTACATCATAAAACAAGGGTACCACTAGCACTCTACATACTCTTGTATATTATTAAAATTTGGCCAAATTTTATGTTGACAGTTAACATTAATATTTGATTTCTATTAGTTAGATCATATGAAAACCTAAAAATATAGTGATTTCAATTCAGTATGAAAATCTACAAATAAACTATTTTTTTTCGTTTTCTAACTTGTAAAAATATATGTAAATTTGATCATATTTAGGCTGCTATTAATAGAAGCTAGCAGATTTTTTCTTACTTATTTTATTTCTTAGACGAATTTCTTTTTTATTAATTATATAATTATAGGTCAATTATATAATTATAGGTCAGAGTATTGGATATCACAGCAAAAACATTGGTGTCAATATTGTCGTATTTATATTGCAGACAATAAACTCATAAGATATTTATCTTTTAGTTGTGTCTATTATTTAATTTCTTGTTTAATTTTCTCTTATGGAATTATATACTTTTTTTTTAAGAGTCAAACAATGCATGAGCAAAGTAAATAACATAAAGAGAATCATAAGAAATTTCTTAGAGATATTTATCATAAAGAATATGAAAATCGATCTTCATTAAATTACACAAATCAATTTTTGTTCTATATGATTTATACAATGCCCTTTAAAATAGTTATTACTAAAGTTTTCACGAGTCCGAAGGTATAAAAAATATAATAAAGCTTTTCCTTGTAAATTAATAATATTATCTTGCTTATTGCTTATACATTTAATCACATGATAAGGTAAAAAAAAAGGTTATTAAACAAAACACGTAAATTTTTGTTGCTAAAAATAGAATTATCGTAGAATGACAAAAAAATCAAATAATGTTAAATAAGAATACATAATAAATTTGACCATCTCTATATCTGACTATATATAACTTTCTTACTTTGGTTATTTAGTAATTTTTAAATAATTACTTAATACGTAAAAAAATAAAATTTTCTTTCGAGAGTATTAAAAAAGGTCATAAGTCATAAAACATTTTTTTTTTGACTAAAATGAATTATAACGGTCACTGTTGCTTTTAGACAATTCCAGGTTTAATTGAATAGTATTCAATATATCTAGAAAACCATAATTGGACAAAATATTATATCAAATATTCCGTTATTGATTTTTCATTGAATGAGACAAAATTTCAAATATACGTATAAAATATTTACCTCTTCGTTGAATCTCAATATGCATATAATCATATAATCACTTGCCAATACTAATACCGGCATGTGATTATATGCGTTCATTTCTGTGACCCGGCAGAAAACTTATATTTGGCCTTCTAATGCATATATGTTTATCACCAATTACTAGTCGTGAATTTTTTTAATTCTGTAATTGTGTTTTTTTTTGCATAAAATAAAGGGTAAAAATGGATTACAGTACAAACATCATTATGCATATAAAGATAAGGAAATCTTTCCTTATTTGTCTTAAAGCTTACTATTCGATAATCTTGTAAAAAAGAATCTAATTAAAAATTCTACAGTATATTCATAAGAGAATTTAAATTTTTTACGTAATCTTTAATTATGCCATGCATCTTCCGTATTATAATATGAGACAACACTATTATTTCAAAATAAACCATCGGCTAAACCTTCTCAATCGTGTTTTTTATTGTTCCAAAAGCAGAAGAATCTTTTAGTTCAAGAAATGATAACTATTCTTTGAGACAAGTCTATATTAAATTTGGTTGTAAAAAAGATCCAAATGAATATATGTTTCTTTTTTCTTCGATAATACAGTAATCAGAATCAATAAAATGCTTTTGTCGATGTTATCCGGGCCATACGTCTAGTAAATTTGAAAGGTATGTAGTTCATTTGTTATACGGATCAATGGTCGAAAATCGATCTAGTAGGGGGTTTCAAAATTAAAAATTAAACACTTATTTCGAATGAAATAAGGTGATGAATTTATTTCAAAGTAAGCGATCTATAAATTCTATTTATATTAAGTGTAAGTTTATTTATTCAATAACGCTTTTACAATTTTTTTTACATATTTAATAATTTAAACAGCTATTTCATTTTCCGATTTTAAAATTTTAAACTACAAATAAGATTTTTAAAACCCCTACTTATTTGCGAAATAGTTTAACTTTGAAAACCCCTAATAATTTAGAAAATGATCTCATGTTCTTATAAAAAACATCCCTCTTGATTTGAGAATATTTTTCTAAATCAAGATGCTCTCCACGAAAAAAAATTTTTTTTTGAACTTTGGTTCAAAAAAATATGTTCATAAAGTTGTATATAATGCAAGTTTATACTATATTTATTATAAAAATTTTATTAATAGCTTTTATATTTACAATAGTTCTAAGAAAACTTTTTTAAATTGTACAAATGCTTTAAATATAAAAGCTATTTATTTAATTTTATAAAATTTATTATAATAAGCATAAATTGTAACTATATAAAATACAAGTATTTCAATTTAATTTACTTATTAATAAAAATTATTAGTATATAAATTAGTTTTTTAATAAAAAAATATTATTTCATTTTATAAACTTTATAATATATAAATAATTAATCTTTAGGGTTAATTCACTTACAGGGTTCAAAATTAACCTTGATTTCTAATGAAATAAGTGACGTATTTATTTTAAAAACAAGTGACTTACAAAATATATTTTATTTTTATGTTTATTTGCAACTGATTTTTAATTTCGACGCCTTTATTTCATTTTCTGATTTTGAAATTTTAAAATAAAAGATTTTTAAACTCACTTATTTTTGAAACATGCTAATTATGAAACACTAATAGTAAAATTTATTTATTCGGCAGAGATAATAGTTAAACTATCATCTCTGCGATAATAAAATTATAAAATTATTGGACAGCAAATCATAGTAAGCTGCCGGATAAATCCGTTATCAGGCATGCTAATACGTACTGTCTTATTATTATTAGTTACATATATTTTAACTAATGACTAATTTAGACTGGTATCATTTTGCAAAAATTAACTATAAAAAAAAAAAAAAGCTACAGCACCCAGTATTCCCATGTTGTCCCCAACCATAGTACTGACTGGGCCATCAGTGGCTTATCTTCGGAGATCGG